AGCTATTATGAGCAGTTTATGATGATCATGTCTAAAATAATAAGTGTTTACTTTACAATGTAAGTAATGGCCGCCGAATTAAAAATGTGGAAAGGACAATCCTTATATGGTGCAAATGAATTAACATACACTGAAAAAATCAAGTAAAAACCCTTATGCGTAAGAATAAAACAACTTATGGAAAAGAAAGGTAAAAATAATATTGGAGATGAATTTACCCACCGAGAAGGGGAAAGAAGACAAGAGTTTCACTGTACATGTATAAGCAGACGATGAATGTACGAAAAAGCATCATTAACATAAGGTTAATAAGGTTTGTTGAAAAATAAAAGTATGATAATGCAAAAACAAGCGTAACGTAGCAGTTTCATTTCAGCCTGGGTTTTGAGGTAGACAGCCATCTTCTTTGGTGAATTTTTAAACTTTCTCCATAACTGAGTCAGCCATGTCAGAACGCTTTGATGTAAGACACATTCTCCAAGGAGTCAGTACAGGCTAGTGCCAGCCTGTGGCAGACACAGTGAAGTTTATAAGTCGAGGGTTGAGTTGTTTCAACCTAGCAGCAACACCTTCTGTTGTGCCTGTCGAAACAGCAGCACCGTCAGGCACAAAATTAATGATGACAATTTTTTGGAATCTAGACCTCATTTACCAATGTTCTAGATTATGTAATTGGTTATAGTGCTTGCCTTTGCAGATGGTGAATTCTTCAGGAGATTTGATAGACAAGAAACCAGTTTTAGTTAATTGACACAATTCATCGTAAAATTGGGCAAACATTATCATCTGTGCCATAACAGAGATATCAGTTACATCATCCACTAAAAGGCTGAAATATGTCCTTCTTGCTTCGTACCACTTAGAAAGACATCTTGCACAGTTTCCCAATTGTCAAGAATATTTCTCTTAACGCACCTTGGGATCTGTGCAGAAAACGCTTCAAGTCTTTTAGTCCCAACTCTTCTAGTAGGTTAAGAAGTGACTTGATCTTGTGGTTAGGTAGCTCCTCTTTCACGATCCAATACGCATCTGTGAACACCTTCAACAGCACATCTTCTGCAACTCTTTCCTGTTTGTCAAGGGTTCTCTGAAACGTGGAAACCCTCTGTAGCATCTCCGCTGAAACTGCGTTCTTATGTTGTGACGTACGGCAGTGGTCTTCAAACGCTTCTGGGCAAAATCATTTACAGGGCTCCTTGTTAAAAACTTTCGACTTATTTTGAGGGTTAGACGTGTCATGCTTTTTGCGCAACAAGTAGAACAGACCCTCGTCTTCAACATAAACAGGCCACCACATCTCAGTTGTAACACAAAATGACATTGATCTTTTGTTTAGCCAACTATGTTGAAATGTTAAGACTGCTTTGCAATCTTTGTCGCTTCATTGATGGTAACATTACAACAACCAGCCCTTTTACAGAATTCACGCTGATGGTACTTAGATGTAAACATGTTATCTGCGCACCTTATGGTATCACCGGAAAAGGCGCTGCTTGCATGGCTGTTCCCATCTTTAGTCTGCCTCTCAGATTCTGCTGGAAATGAGGCATCAACAGCATCATGGGTAACATCACCACTGAACTGGGAAGGGATTTCACAGCAGGGTCGCTTTGCCTGCACCTCATCATGCTCTTGAACCTCTTTTCTACTGTTTGGAAATGATATTTATGACTTACATTTTCTAAATTGTTGTTTGGCAGGTGCATTTTTATCTTGAATGTTAAAACATGCAGTGGTTAAATCAGCTATCTGGATAAACTTTTTCTTTATGCAGTTTAATGAACACTGACAACAAACAATAATGAAATAATAGCAGAAACCAAGGAACGAAAAAATGATTATACAAAAAGTTCCTGCAAACCTGTCTGAGAAACGATTATTGACGACTATAGTTGTAAGCCACATAGTTCGCCTGTTCACCGCAGTAAAATAATGGACCCTCAAAGGTAAAAAAATGCCTTGTTGTAATATTATGTATTGTGTATGATTATCACTTTAATTAACAATGCCTTTGAGTTTTCCGTGTACGTACAAAACTTATGTATCATATTACATCAATAGATTCTCTATGTCGGAAGCATTTTTTACAACAGATTTTTTGGTTTGTTGGTGTCACGAGAAAAATACTGTGGGAAGCTTCTAGTCTGAAATTACCCTGTACTGTTCATCTTTGCAATAATGATTTCAATTGAAAAAGAAATTTACATAACATGTAAAGGAAGAGTCCATACAAAGTCACACACTCACAAGGGAAAAACTTGTCATGTGCTAGGCAACCAACTCATGTTTAGTCAAGTGGAATGAAACTATGGCTTTTTATAAACTTTATTTGCTGTAGTTTTTAGTAGTTTAGTCGACTTTTGATTGTCAAAATTTATTTGATCACAAAGTGCAAACCTTTGTTTGGATGAATGGAATATTTTCTTCATTTACCCAAAAAATGTACAGTTTAACTTCCACCAACATTGTGCCCGAGACCAGCCAGAGAAGGGTGGAAGAAGAATCTGAATGACCCTCCGTTAATTTTATAGTAATTTAATGGACCCTGAAATGCAAACATTGAGATCTTTATACCTTGAATTTGATAAACTGGATGCTTGGCTGACAGTGAAAAAAAGAGTCCAGATTCCTTTGTCGCTTTTTCGACGTGTTCAACACAAAGCCAACACAACGGTTGAAACAGACATTTCCTGAACGGAGAGTTAACACATGCTCCGAGTAGCTGGGGGAAATCCCCCAGCCCTTAGTGACAACCCTGCACTGTTTCAAACTCTATCAATCCTATTCAGTTTCACTCAATTTGTCAAATGTTGACCAAATTTTCTGGAGTTGAAACTGAAAGTCTGTATCAAAGTTTAGAAAAAGAAAAAGAAAATTTTTTGTGTTTTGTTCACCTACCGTACTCCATAAAGTGGGCATGTGAAATTAGGAAGTTTCATGTCGCAATCGTGCAAAGACGGCTAAGAAATGTACAAAAAAGCGTGATCCATGTACAAATTTGTTTTTTTGACGTTTTCGTTGCAGTCGCTGCCTCGTTGTTTAAGCTCCCTATTGTTGTGATCCAGAAATTTTGCTGCCCTGGTAACATGATGTCACACTTCTCTTCTCTATTTCCCTTTTGCTATGTAACATCTGGCTTCTCGCTGGAAGTGAAGTTAGTCATTCACAGATCTCCACTTCCTTATTACCAGGTCATTATCTAGACGCATTTGTCCTCCCCTCCCCCTCATACATGCAGCTTTCTAGTAGTATAGGACTTGGCAGTATGAGCACACTTTGCTTATTTTTGGTGGATAATTATTACTGCCATATCTTGGAACTTATTATACTATTTTTATAATATATAATTTAGGTTGTAAAAGGGATAGTATAGGATTTGGTGGTATGAGCACACTTTTGTGTTTATTCCTTCTGCGCCAACTCTTGGATTCTTCTATTTGTTTTTTAAAAAGAATATTATATCTTCTCTATATAATAGATGCGATATTTTAATAATTTTTATAATGACCATATGCATAGCTAGAGCTTATATATCCTTTGCCTATTCACATAACTAATTTCAATACCATGCTTTTGACATAATGAATTAAGAATATTCTCTACATGATATTTCAGGTGATAGATCCATTTCCTTCTCATTCTATGCCTATTTTCATGAAAATCCACAAACTCATTGGCTGTTAAGTAAACATTTACTGTGCCCGCAATTGGTACATACAATATGAGAGTCATTAAGTTTGGATGCTCAGAACAGTCTATATTTTTGCTTGTTGTTGCTTTTAATTTTTCATTTCAAAATGGACATTCGCTATATTCTTTTTTATATTCATCATGAATTATATCACAATGCATTCTATATATATTTATATTAGAAAATAATTTTTAAAAACATACAGAAATATCCAAGAGTTGGCACAGTATAAATAAATGCAAAAGTGTGCTTGTACCATCAAATCCTATACTATCCCTTTTACAATCTAAATTCTATATTATGATAACAGTATATAATAAGTTCCAAGATATGGGGGCAATAATTATCAACCAAAAAGAAGCAAAGTCTGCTTGTACCGCCAAGTCCTATACTACTCTTCTTTAGTTGAAGCCTTACTCAACCTAATTAAAAACCTCATTTGAGCACGTACATTTCGTCAAATTAAAAAACACACATAGTACACCAGGGGCGTAGCGTCCATATATGCACGTACGCCCGTGCGTACAGCTGAGATCTGAGAAAAAAATTTTGCTCATTAAATTTGCTGGCTAATAATTTCGTATTTCCACATTATACTGGCGCTTTTTATTAGAATTCCCATTATCCAAGCATTAATCATTCAGTGCTGGCCACTAATAATGGCAAAATGCATTTGAGTGGTAAGCAAAAATAGGAAAAACTCCTCATGTACCCCTCCCTCAAGGTCAGCCAGCCTCACCATTGAAAATGCCCCGCAACCAGGAGATGGCATTTCCGAGACCCTAAATTTCAAAATTTTCTGGGGGAGCATGACCCCAAAACACCCTAGTTGTAAGCGCCTTTGACCTGTACGCTTTTCATGTTAATACCTTTGACCTTAATCAACAAAGGATGGCATTGTCCAGGAGTGAGGAGGTTGTCTTTTCCCTTGGGGAGAGGGGGAGTGGGCCTGTTATTACAATGTTAAAATGGTGTTTTCTGTAGATCTAATTTCTTGGAAATTGTACACAATCCAATGAGAAAATGTTTGCAACAATGTTTCTGTACTAAAGGAGCAACCAAATTGCATAATTTTGTAACTTTGCAGCACTTTCCAGAATTACCAGATTATGAAGGGGATGTTCTTGCATGGATCCCTTTAATTTAGCAATTTAGCACACTTAAGTATCAATCTATTTGGATTGTCGAGATCAGAAGACCAGGGTGATTGATGTAACACAGTTAATAATAAGAATGCCAACCTTTTTGTCAGCTTTTAATGAAACAAAAAAATACCTACATCTAATCAGTTGTTATTAATTTTCTTTGGCAGTATCCAGCAACTATTGCAGAAGTAAATCAACTTTTAAAAGTGTGCCAATTTGCTGAGCTGAGAGAAGTAATGATGAGATCATTGTCATTTGGTACTGCAGGTAACATTATTGGTTGATTCTTTAAAAAAATTAAAATTAAATTAAAACTAGTGGTACCTTCTAGCAAGTTTCAATGAGGTGAATTTGTTTATCTTTTGTGGAATGTGCCTAATTATTCTTTCCAAATTGTTACATACTATTAGAGGTTTAAAATTAATTTTTCTATAAACAAGGATGGGTAATAAATTTCACCCAACAACTTAGGCACATTTTATTTTACTATAATTTCATGCCTTAAAGCTTTGATGGTAAATTGGAACAATTTGCTCTTATGTTTCATGGTAAACTCCACTGTATAAAAACTGTAAATGTTAGAAAGTAAAATATTTTTTGAGTGAGGCCTTAATCAAAGATACGTTTACAAATTAAATTCTGAATGTGCGCTGATCAGTGGCATCATTAGGGATAAGAAAATATTCCGTGTGGAGTTACTCATACAAAAAAAAAATTGGTGTAAAGTTTGTGTGTGAAAAGTGCAAGAATGGGGAAAAGTATGTATAAGAGGTATAAAAATGTAAATTTGAATAAGATACAACGATCTAATGAGTTAGTGCATATCACAGGACAAAGGGTCTCTTGAAAGGCATCTAGATTGTCTCTAAAACAAAAGGTCAGCAAATTTGTTACATTCTAAATCTAAATAGTCCAGTTTCGAATTAAAAATTACCGCTGAATATAAACATTAACGACACATTCATACAGGGTTAGCCTTGACGTAAAGTAAAATATTCAGAAATTCTGGCAAGTAAGTGTTTGAAATTTGAGTATATACAATAGACAGAGTAATAAACAGGTCTTTTTCTCGTTGGAATTTGTGAATATATTACTTCAGATTGAGGCTAAGGCTGTAAAAAATGCGTCTTCACTTCTTTAATTCAGAGGTCATAGCGAACTCGAAAATGGACTATTGAGTTGTGAAGAACACTCTGGTTCTGATAAAATTTGAGCATACAACCCTGTTCCTTGATCAGCTGCTCTTTTAAACGCAATTTATGAAGCAAAACAGGGCCCTAATAGCCCTTTCAGACAAGAAATCGTAACTTTGCTCACCTGTTAGGTCCTCAGCAACAACTCAACAAACGCAATCCATAGTCCACAACCTACATTAGCACACTGGATTACCTAGCCTTGAACCATAAGGAGTAAAATGTAAATGCAAGAAGTTGATGTCACTGCCCAAATATCGGGTACTCACACCTAAATATGGGCAAAAAAGGAGGGTTATGCAGAAGTTGAAAAATTTTCCAAAACAGTGTGCAGCATTAAGAATTCTGTTGCTGAGCCAGCCTCACTTCTTAGCTTTGTTGCCTTGTTGGGAATTACGTGAAAACTTGACTAGTTTAGAACCGTCACTTTACTTTAATTTATTATTCCTGGTGTTTGATCTAAAATATGAATTATTGTCAAGGTGTATGAAAGAGAATTCTTTTGACAGTAACATGGTACTTTATTTTATTTGTTGTCATTTTTTTAAGGTTTAAGATCAAAAATGGGAGCAGGTTTCAACAGGATTAATGATCTGACTATCATCCAAGCTACCCAGGTTTGTACTTTTGTTAAAGAAATAGAAAAATGTACAGCAAAAACTTGTAAACTTGGCAACATTCTGAACTGGTTGTTTATAGACTAGATTACCTGTATGCTTAATTCCTTTCTTTTGGATGAATGTACTGAGGTAAGCTGCAATAATGTTAGCCTCCTACGAAGAGATTCATCCGGCTTTGTAATGAGTTCCCATTGTTTGTCAATGTAATGTTATGTCCGTTATCTGGGAAACATCATTAAGGCCAATGCATGGTTCATCCTCTCAATATTTTACATTCTCTATTTTCTATTCAAAAACAGAAAAAGCCAAATCACAGTCTTAGTTTCCTTTTCCTGTTTAAAATTCTTTATGTAAAATGCATCATTTTATTGAATTTTTTAGTCAGAACCACCTATCCCTATTTACATATGTAAGAAAAACATCAAAATCTTCAAAACTTACCAGAGTTGTAGAAATGACTTTCAGTTTAATTCTAGCCTAAGAAAAAAAAAGAAGCTATCTTCTTTTTTCGTTATTCATTTTACTAACGAAGTAATACAAAAATGCGAAAAACAAAAATCTACTTCTGTTTTCCGTTTTTCATTTTATGTGCCAAAAAAAAAATACAAAAAACGTTTTATTCATAAGAAAATACATAAAATGAAAAGCTACTTCCATTTTCCATTTTTCGTTTTATGCACAAGAATTGACTTCTGGTCACTCGTTATCACCTTTTTGTATGGATAAATGAGGTGTTGTTCAGAGTGTGGGCTAGTATACTATTGGCGTGTGGATAAAATACAGTACTAGTGATGCCTGTGTGGATCACATCAGGCAACCAATTTACAATTTGGGCGTGTCATCGATCAGGAATAATACTTGGCCAATGACAGGGTGGTTAAGTTGCTGTAAAAAGTAGGAACAGAGAGAACTATTTCACTATCATTGTAAGAACATGGGTTGGGAATGGTGTTGTTTATGTGTTTGCGACACTTTAATCATGTTAATTTGTTGTTGTAGGGTGTCTGTAAAACCAGGAGTTTACACACCCCGGACAACTCCCTGACGGGCTGGAACCCCCCAGAGCACCCTTAATTACAAAAATTAGGCAAAAAATTACAAACCAAAAAATACCCTAAAATATCATCAATTAATCAATAACTGAATATGTTTGTTTTATCTGTTACTGGGAAATGGAAATTGGATCAGATTGATGAATTCACACTACTTTGTGACTTATCAAGATTTTAAGAAAGTAGTCTGTTGCCTTTATACGATTACTTACTAGCCTTTTTGTCTGAAATATAGTTGAAAGAGCTACAACTGAAGTCAAGAAAAAAAATCAACCAAATAAAATAGAAGAGTTAAATGAGAACTAAGCGGAGGGCCCATGTGGGATTTATAACATTGTCACTAAATATCTTTTACCCAATTTGTAGTTTATTGTGTTCGAGGAGTATCACTTTAATAAAATTCACTTATTTTGATTTTTGTCTTGTTTTCTTTGATTTTGGTATTTTGTCTGATTAAAAGTAAAAATATTTTTAGCTTTAGTGTTTCACTTTAGATTTCCAGCTAATCTTGGTTTTTTCGAAATTTTCTGCGCTTGACTTCTCAAATGATGTTTTTGTCACAGCTTCAATAGTGGATGGTCAGCCATAATCAAGGCCGGGTCATTCATTCATATACCAATAAATCTTTTGAAGGATTCTGGTCCAAAACCCTAAAACCATGCTCTGCTCAGGGTTACATACCCATCATGCAAGGCCAAATAAGAGACAGTGCCCCCTCCTGGGAAACACTTAAAGGACAGAGAATTCTCCATGCAATCTATAATCTACCTGCCCAACAGAAAAAACCCACAAACATTAGCTGGAAAATCAACATGGAACAATAAAACCAAATATATTTTCTCTTTTGATCAAATACAAAATATCAAAATAAAAGAAGAAAACAGGCAAGAATCAAAATAGGTCGGCGAATTTTATAAGTTATACACAGGAAACAGTACAGCATTGTAGAAGCTATTTATTTAAAACACATTTTATTTTTGGTTTATTTTTTCCCTCTTGACTTCAGTAACGGCTCTCTCGGCAATATTTCAGACAATGGCTGATCTACGTTACAGATAAAACATATCAGTTATTGATTCATTGATGATATTTTAGGGTATTTCTTGGTTTTGTAATTATTTTGCCTAATTTTTGTAATTAAGGATGTTCCGGGGGTTCTTGCCCGTCAGGGAGTTCTTCAGGGGTGTCCTGAGGGTGTGCCAGGGGTGTTCCAGGCCAGCTCTGAGCAACACCTCATTTATCCTTCATTTATCCATACATAAGTGGGATAATGAGTGACCGGAAGTCAAATCTTGTGCACAAATTGAAAAACGGAAAATGGAAGCAGATTTTCGTTTTTTCGTTTTTTGCTATTTTTTTGCAAATAAAACGAAAAATGGAAGTAGATTTTCGTTTTTTTTTTTTGTATTTTTTTTGCAAATAAAATGAAAAACGAAAAATATTTTCTTTTTTTCTTAGGCTAGAATTAAACTGAACGTCATTTCTACAAGTTTGGTAAATTCTGAAGATTTTGACGTTACGGATATAAATAGGGTTAGGTGGATCTAACTAAAAATTCAATAAAACAATGTGTTTTACATAAAAAAGGTTCTGCACTGGTAGAATTTTTAACAGGAAATTCAAAAGGAAACTAATTTGGCTTTTTCTGTTTTTTAATATAAAATACAAAATGTAAAATAATGAGTGGACGAACCATGCATGTACCCATTACAAATACACGTCCACAGTAAAACTAAGCGGTGTACAACAAAAAGAGACCACAAATAGTCAAAAATTTAGTCTATTCAATTGTTTCAAAACCTCGTGTAAGGTCAGTGAAATTATCATTGTACATGTACAATTTTGCCATTTTTTTATTTGCTGCGTCATGACCTTTGCTACAGAAAGCTAATGCTGACCATCATAAGTCTTAACTATCTTCTGTCAACTCTCCAACGTCAAGGATGTTATTGTTTTCAAACTTATTGACGAAAGTAGTTGGTACCAAGGTTACTGTCTGTCGGTTTGCAATGATTTGCATGAGTTGCTTCATGACCTGCGACAGTAATGAGACAGGACTAATGAAGTTATATAATGATATGCTTTCACTGGATGGTGTAGTTAAGCATAATAGTAGTTCTTTTGGGCTGCTTTTAAATTAACTATAATATTATCTTGTTATGGGTACAATAAAAAAGACTATCTTTGTTGTTGTTGCTTTTATTAGTGGTAACAGGTCTTTGGGGTGTGAGCCATTAAAATAAAAATTGAGAGATGCCAATCTTGTTTCTGTTTACAGTGTAGAACTTTATAGTATGTAACAGTTTTTTTAAGTTTTGTAAAGGATTGATGTGAAAGTCAATTGAAATATTATCTCTTGATTTTTCCAAGGCCTTCAATAAAAAAAATAGTTTCAAGGTTAATTAGTGCATTGGTATATGTCAATGGATCTCTATAATCCTATTTTACGAGTAGAAAAAGAGCATTGTTAATTAATGAATTCTTTTTTTTTTACCAACTCTAAATGTTCCAGCAGCAGCATAACCTCTAATATTGGCTTGATTAAGTGATGAAGTACATATTTTCAATGATTACAGTGACTTACAGTTGAGCTATTTCATTGGTCTGTTACTATTATAAAAAGGTCCCATCGGCTGGTAGTTTGGGACAAGCAGATTTTCTTGCTAGGCAAATAACTTTTAAACCTTACTTGCCCGATGGGCAAGGTTCTAACAACATCATTAACTAAGACAAGCATGACGTGGCTCCGGGCAAGCAAACTGTGTGAGCTGCTTGCCTAATTTATTGATTTCTTCAGTGTGAGCTCTTCTCCTCATCTTACTTTTCATGTTACTTTTCCTTTGATTGATGTTGTTTCTCCTCTTCTATGACCAAATGCGTGCGTTCTGTGGTTAGCTCGAAAGCTAAGCTCCTCTGACCACCGTACACTTCTACCCAAGCCATTAATTTTCTTTTTTTCCTTCTTTTTCTCCTTTATTAGTGTATTCCTACCTTACTATATATAACGTAAACATTTTATAAAGTGTGAATAATAAAATTGAATTGAATTATATTTATTACAAACAGGGGCTTTGTCGATATTTAGAAAAACTTTTTCCAGACTTACAAGAAAGAGGAGTTGTTGTAGGATTTGATGCAAGACACAACAGTAAACGGTAAGGAAATTGCTCATCTCCTTCTTTGTTATTACTGGTATTCCATGTACATGTTACAGTTCCATGTACATGTTAAATTCAGGTTTAATTTTTTTAAACCTAGGTTGATTCTCCTAGCTCTAACTCATAAATAACTAGACTCACTGAAAGGTGACTTGCTGGGCTGTCATAGAGACCTACATTGTACACCAGAAAGAAATTAATGTATGGTATGAAAACAAAGAGTTTACTAAAACAGACAGCCAACTGCCCATTGATCTCGATCCACGGGCCTCATTGATTGCAATGAGACTTTAAATAGATGATCCTAATTTGCGGTGTACAGTCTACCTGAAAACGCATTATTTTTCTTTCCACAAGATAAGAATATTCAGTTCTAAGATTTTTCTGTTGTTATTTTTCTTCAACTTTGCATTATGCAACCTAAAAGAGTTTAAAGGTTTCTCACTCGGTTGTTGATTTCATTAGGACACACTTTAAACAATGTAAATAGATCAAAATATGATCGATAAAACATTTTTTACCGCAATAGTAATATGAATTGCAGGGGTTTCAATAAGCACCGACGGCTGACGAAACACGTGGGCTACTTTGTTAATAGAGGTCGACTACTTTTTTTTCTAGAAAGAAGAAGCAACTAGTTTGAATAACGTTGTAAACAAAAAATATATCGTAAAATCTGAATGAAAACGTAATTATGACGTGTTTTCATAAAGGCCCACTGGTTTTACGTCATGCTTTAGACATGTGAATGCTTTATTTCAGTCATTTTTTCACAAGTTTCTTTATAGTTATACGCAGAATTTGTTTACCTGCAAAAGTACGTAAATTAGTTTTCATCATTTGCTCATTGCTTGTAGGAATTGATTGTGTGACTGATAAACTGAAAGTTACATTTTTCTTGAATGAAAAACACGCCCTTTTGTCCCCAAATTAGTCCACAGAACGCTGAAAATCGCATTTTAGGGCTTTGAAATTTTGACGTACAAAAAATATTTGTGCAGGAGAAAATCGTATGAAGCAATTTGTGAGAACATCATTTCCCAGGCAGCCCAGTAATTCGGGCTAGGAGACAAAGGAAACTGAGAATCAACCTAGGTTAAAAAATGTTAACCTGATTTTAATTTTGACCCACATCATAAACAACACATCAAATGTTATCTACGGTGCATTTGTAATATTCAGTGATAATTAAAAATACATTTTAATAATTTAGTGGATAAGTACAATGTAATATATTCTTTGTATGGTTGTAGTTTCTGTAAGAATAATTATTGTAACCACTATTAGTATTACCTGTATTTCTTTGAGTTTTAGTTGGTACATGACATTGGTAGTCTGCTTATTGCAGACAGCAGACTGCCAACTGTAAATTGACTGACATTGAATATACCATAGGCTGCCTATAAGCCCCCCAGTTATAGGCGCATCTACCTGTAAACAAAAATAATCTTTTTATAAGCCCCCTGGATATTTACAGTGTAAACTTCCCTCTAGCTTATATGGAAATGAATTCGATCTATTATGACATTTTGAAGCCTACTTAAAAATGTAAAACTCACAGCTGTATTTGGATCAATACTGTCATAGCTTTTTGAAGCGCTTTTTCTAGTCCAGTTATAAGTACCCTCGGATATAAGCCCT